GGCAAAGTCTACCAACTCCTTCTTGCCCTGTCATGCGGCGAGGAAAAGCGATCGCATGCGATATGCTTGGTCAGGCGGCAAGAACACTTGTAAAAGCTGCAGCTTCAGCTCAGTTCAGGAAAAATTGCCGCTTTAATGGAAGTACCCTACGTCAGTGCCCATTCTCATGCTCGACCGCCGAGCATGGAGATAGCTAGCGCCACGCGCTGTTGCTCGTTCTGGAGCATGGCAGACTCCATCGCCATCGTGAACTCTCTCACCCAGAGCAGGAAAGTCTTTCCATCCTTGCCCTCAAAAGTCTTAACACTCACCAAGAGCGGCTTGGATCGGGGAAAGTCATCCGTCGCCGACGGTGGTGTCATGAACGCAGTCGACGCCGACATCATCTGCTGTAGGTGCTCTAGCAGAGCATTTGCATAGCTTGCAAGCGCGCTCCGATTGCTTCAGGGTCTTGCGAAGCGAGGTGTTGCACGCCCTCAGGGCCAAGCAGGGACATGGGCGATTTAAGCCCGTCCTGCATGCACTAGGGCAAGTAAGAGATCTGCTCCATTCTCACAGAGCGTCAGTCGCAACGACTCAGGTGTAGATTGACAACAAGTGCTACCAAGAGCAGCGGGACTGCCGTAGCTATTTCGCTTAGAGGAAGCTTGGTTAGGGTCGGTGACCTTTGTTCTGAAATTGGAACCAGTACGAATGTAGCAAATCGCAATCCACTTACTCTAAGATTACCTACAACCTGATTCCAAGGCTTATAAACTCTTCCGCTTGAAACGTAAACTGCATTTCTCGGCTTTGTTCGCGGCAAAAGCCGCATATATAAATCTATAGGGTTTCCTATCTACTGGCGGTCCAGCCACGTAATGACTTCTTGTTCAAGTGTAGCCACACCATTGTGTAATCACACGATCTTATGTGATCCCATACCCTTCATACCAGGGCACGTGAAACCCCGTTATAGTGTGGCTATTGCCGCCTTAAAGCACCAGCTTTCAAGATTCAGTAACAACTTTGTATTGTCGAGGTTGTACTGTCAGCACAAGTCGTAATATACTTGTTCAAATGGCTGTCCAGGACAAAGCAATTTGTTCAGTGCCATCATGACCATAATGCTTTTCATTATACAGTGGTGCTGAATTTTGCGGTCGTGCCTTAAGCAAAATTTTCTCATGAGCATTCCGAAAGATGACTAATTTTTGCTAATGACATTCACATCTGTATTGATGAACGCCATAACTCTACGCACAAACGCAGGCACTGCTCGAATATGGCTTATGTTAGTGTCCACATCTGATCTCACATCCCTCACATGAATATAGATAAACATTTTTCGAAATGGATTTGTACATAAAAACAATTTGCCCCTACCAGCTGCTTCACCAGACGATAAACATGGTAGTGCCTTCGATAGCCTCTGTTTCAAAGCATGCCTCTTATCGGGCATCCTCTCAGAGAACTCACCGCAGTGACCGATATATCACGAAGTATTTGTGTGCAATTTACATTAAATAACAACAAAGTCATAGGCACTAAACATACAGCAATCGATCAGATTGTTCTGCAGCATGTCTTTTCGAGAGATCGACGTTTGCACTGTACATCTAGCTTTTTGAAAGCTAGCACAGCTAGCCACTTTCCATTGAACATTCCAATGCAAAGAGTCGCACCGAGTAGAAAACATACTTATTTATTAATCTCGTTTTGCGATTCGCGCGGAGAAATACGTCTTGACAATATCATCGGTAAAAGCCATTGTCTTGCATTACAATATTTGGCAATAGGACACCCGAGGACAAGAACGTGGAGGTCTTAACCTATGAATATGCTTTAATTGGGATAACACACGTCGCACTCGCGGTACCTACTAAGAGGCTGCGCATGAATGTGGACTGTTACGTGCAGTGACTTTGTGGAAATAGCACTTTTGATATGGAAAGTGTCAAAGTGACTAATGTACCGAGATCTCGTACCGCCTAATCATGTGTCCCGTACGCTCAAAATTATTGTCCCCGTCAACCAAGGCGAACGTTAGCAAATTATGTTCAAAAGTCGCAAACTTTGATAGCCACAGTGGTGGTAGATCCTCATTTAAAGGCAGTCCATAGTCTTGAAACACGTACAGCTTGAGCTGAGACCATCCCCACCCACCATATTTCCTTCGGAGATGTAATCGAAGTAGCGTTGATGCGATATGTGCCGCGAGGGATGGTTCAAGTTTACGGGAAGTAAAAGTTCTTCGAGCGCGCCAGGGGCAATAGACCTCAGCCATGCTGAGAAGGAAGAGAGAAATATTTAGCTGCTGAAACAGCCTGCAGTACTCGCAGATCTTTCAACTATGGTAGTGTTAAACACCCGTGCTGCGCGAGGCTCTTTTCTCTCAGCTGAGAGGTATGAACAATCGAGAATGGTCGTCTGACCCACCCCTCTCTGTGAGATGCGGATGAAGAGAGGACTATTGGGAAATAAATGGCTCAATCATATCTGTAATACGTTGTCTGATTTGATACAAGCTATCATTCATTGTATGGACATGCGCCATGGATCGATTAGAAGACGAAAAAGTAAATTCCCGTACCAAATCTTTAAGGTTAGATCCTGGTGAGACTTGAAGCAAAAGCTCTTCCAGGAACCAGAAGAACATTTGACGAGGACGACAAATTATTCCAGCGTCGGTGTAGGATATCAGACTGCCTAAATTGTCTAGCAAAGATTTTGCTCTTTGATAAAAGATCGGAATGCAGACGCGATATTCAACCGCAAAATTAAAACAAGACCGACGATAGCAGTTATATGCCGCAGTTTGTAGAGTATTAATCAGCAGATACCAGAATGAGCGACGTCATGCTCATAGCCTTAGCGAGTTTCCCTGATGATCCCTTTCGTTGCAGCCATAAGCTGATGTCTTGTATGCCAGAGCCGGTGAAAGGAAAGAGCGACTGTGTGTCGTTTTGGCGTCAGTAAGTCACATGTAGGACGGCTAGTTAAGTTCTCTAAGATGATATATCCTTGTCACGATGTGTCGGTACTTCCGAGTCAGCACTACAGGATGACATGCCTTCCGTGGGAAGTAGTGATCTCCAATGAAATAGTATCAAAACTTGTTTCATCTCTTGATTGAACGACTAAATCGTTTAAACTAATTTTCTTCTTACCTCGGACAAAAGCTCCCATTTAGCTTGCAAAGTTCATTCTGGAGTATGTATGCGAAAGGTTCAAGACGGTGAAAGTACCAAAACGGTATTGTACGTACCGGAGAGAGATGTGAACACTTCATCAGTCACTGATACGCTCATTATTGAAGATACTCAGAGAATACTAAGCGCAAAATGTGGGACAGTTGGCCTTAAGAACCTTGCAACCTCTTTATTTTTTGTTGGAGATTGTCGTGACGTGGTAATTACATTCACCACGCGTACTATCAATGGATCGGAGAAAATTGCCCTGGATGGCCGGATGTAATTGTACGCAATTTCAGTTTGTCTCAAGGACACCTAGATGGGGCATCCCTGGGGTGTTTTGCAAACGAAATATCATAGCTTGTAAGCGCCTTTCGGCGAATAATCATCGCATCCAGTCCTCGAACTACCAACCGCCTAATTTCGCCAAACCAACAAAAGAAATGAGTACATCAGTCGTATCTAAATAACTCGAGGACAGAAAATTAAACAACTTCAGCTCTATCACAAAATATGCAGTTTTCTGAAACTTGGTTATCAATTTGACGACGGGTTCTACTGCGTGCAATAGATTTGTCGTGTACCTGGCACTGAGAATAGCGTTGTTGCAATGAGTCCGCAATAACAACGCACAGAGAAAATAAGTGTGGGCTCAACTTGGAGTGAAACCGAGCAATTTTTGATAAAAAGAGGGGGCTATTGCCATAAGTCCATCTGACACCAAACACACGAGGAAGCAATTCCCGACGTGAAGGGAAAAAAAGCAGTCCCGACCTGAAAGGAAATACGATAAGGAGACTAAAATCTACAACGGAATTCGTAAGAGTTCATTGTTCCTAGAGCTACATGCAAAAACACCACAACGTCTTCTGGAAAATTTACTAATAAAACCTGGGGCTTTGTATGGATTTGATTAGAACAATTAAGGTTGTACTGGGGTTGAACTTCAGCTTGAATATATACAAGATCTTGGGTGAATTTTCAAAGGTTTAAACTAGAACTTCTGGGGAAAGATTTTAGTAGAAGTGACTGGCTTAGGCCATCCACTTTTAAAGACAGAGACACGTTGGTCTCGTCACAAGTAAACGCTTCAAAGTAGGATCCAGCATTTTTATCACCTATAATGTTTGCAATTAGTAGAGGATGCCGCATATGCATGCGGGAGCACCATCTTGTAATCTATTTGTCATAAATTTAAAAAAATAGCACGTAGGGTATCTTCATGTAATGGGTAAGTGAAAGTCATACGTTTATTTAAACTTAAACCGGATATAGCTGTTCTACTATGTTCACTAGTGAAACTTTCTGTAGATCACGATGTGGGGCTGACAACCCACGAGTCTCACCAGCCTCCTTCATGACTACTCATCGTCCTCAATAGCGAGATCACTTGAGTACTTCGACTTTCAAAGGATTGCACAAAGTGTAATGCAACCAAACACCTGATTGTACTTATACACATATTAATCATTAAATTACATGATAAGACAGAAATATTCAACCTTAGTTTCAATACGATTTAATTTCAGATATCTAGCTTGTGAAAAAGAACCACGAATAATGCTTTCAGTAATCAGAGAGGCTCCTGGTTTCCATCTGGAGTAAAGCCCGCGGATTCCCTGAGTCAAAGCTTCCTCATTGCAAGGTGCACGGCAACCCATCGCATCCATTGTCCTCTTCAGTGCCTGTACTTTGGTACTTCGGAGTTGTGTAATTTGTATGTATACAATGGGACATTGCGTATCCCTTGGTACAACGTGTCTCATGAGTTCTTCGGAGTGGAAATCCATCATTCTGACATAATACATCACTAACTTTTACAGCGGTATTTGATCATAATTTCTACCACAGTACTGACTAGATCCAGATCTTCGGGATTCGTTATACCTGGAATATAATGTTCATAGCTGCTATCATTCCGTATCAGCGATCGCATAATTCTTGACCAATCGTGAACACTGTTTGTCCAATCTAGCCTAGTCAAGACCAGTACTCTGTATCGTCAGATATCTATATAAAACTAAGAGGTTGCCGGTCTTAGATGCAGTGCTCTATCTAGACATCGTGCAGGTCTGGTATTCGCTGTATTATCGTGCTTGATAAGCTGAATATAGCTTCGTTGGCAAGTTGAAATAACGCTTGGACACATGACCCCACTTTTTTAAAGTTGTTTTGGCCCATTCATTATATACATCTATTTAATTCGCATGGCAGCTATTTTGTCTTTTAACACTAATTGGTACTAAATTACAAACATGTCTCAGATTTAGCGTGACGTGGTAATGCACATCGTACGTTCGACACAGCATAACGACAAAATCAAATTATGGAAATTCTCACGCGCCCCAGTAATGTGGGAATTCTAGCGATGGAAGTTCACTTTCCTGTGACATTTGTGGACCAAAGCGAAATGGAGGCCTATGACGGTGTCGGCAGCGGCAAATATACACTGGGTCTTGGACAAGTGAGTATGGCTGTGCCTGGTGACCGCGAAGATGTGAATGCACTGGCATTAACTGTCGTCTCGAGACTTCTAAACAAATATCAAGTTGCTTCCGAGCAAATTGGGCGCCTCGAAGTAGGCACAGAGACGCTAGTAGATAAAAGCAAATCCACCAAGACTGTTCTGATGCAGTTGTTTGACAACAATACTGACGTGGATGGCGCTACGGTCATCAATGCGTGCTACGGTGGCACAGCAGCGTTATTAAATGCAGTAGCATGGGTCGACAGCTCTTTGTGGGACGGACGATACGCTCTGGTAGTCGCGACGGATATTGCAGTGTACGCTGAAGGCCCAGCACGTCCCAGTGGCGGGTGTGGGGCTGTGGCCATGCTCATTGGAGCTGATGCACCAATTATATTGGATTGTCGCTCAAAAGTGACTCATACGACGAACGTTTGGGACTTTTTTAAATCCAATGTTACAAGTGAGTACCCCACGGTGGATGGTAAATTGTCAAATGAATGTTATTTACACGCGCTCGATGAATGTTATCAGCTGTTTTGTAAGAAACAAGCTTTTCAGGGTATCAACAGAGAACAGATTGGTGTGTCGTCGTTCAAGTACGCGGTTTTCCACTCGCCATACCATAAACTGGTCCAAAAGTCATTTGCTCGTCTATTATTTTTGGATTCAAGACATTTCTTAGCGAACGGAAATGAAGCTGCTAAATCCAAGTATATCTCCCTTACCAAGTGGTCAAAGGTACCTCTGTACGATACTTTAAATGATCGGGAACTGGATCTAGCTGTTCGAAAATTGGCAGCAATTGAGTTTCAAACCACAGTCTTGCCAAGTTGCACCACGTCTCAAAAGATTGGAAACTGTTATACAGCTGCGGTGTACATGAATCTTGCGACGTTAGTACACGCGCGTTTCACCGATCTAGCACGTGGTGCTCGAATCCTCATGTTTTCGTATGGCTCAGGTAGTATCGCTTCGATGTTTGTACTACACACTCGTGAGCCTAGTGACTCAAAGAGCAAGTTTACACTGGAGAAAATGGCCCAGTCCCTCGATCTAACGACACGTTTAGAACGCCGTATTAAATTAACGCCTGAGGAATATTCGGCTCGACTAAAATTACGTCAGCAATCATACAGTGTATCAAACGGTCTGCAACTCACACAGTCAATTAGCTCCATTCCACCTGGAGAATTTTATTTGGACCATATTGATGCAATGGGCCGCCGATTCTACGCTCGGTCAGAGCCTCAAGATCATGTAGATATAGATACTCAACACGAGCGTGTTGTAAAGAATATACAAGAGCTTGGTGGTGCAGTGTATGTGGTCGGTACAAGTGTTGGGCTGCCAGGTCAGACGAAAGTATTTGAAGGTGAAGAGTCAGTAATGAAGCTTCTACGTGGTGAAAACTGCATCTCGAAACTGACAAGCGTTGACAAGAAGAGAATGATAACTCAAAAGATTGTGCATGTCCAAAAGGATATGATAACCGGAAATATAACACAAATGCCAGTCTCAAGTGTCGAAGAATGTATTCAAGTGTCAGCTGTTGTGGCCCGAATCGACCTTGAAAAAGAGTACGGAATTGCTGCGACGATAGCGCACTCGATGGATGATACGACGCAGTTAGCTGTAGCTGCTGGTCTCGAAGCAGTTCGAAATGCTGGTCTAGCTGATGGAATAAATGGCAACTGGCGTTTGCCAGAACATCTACTCGACTCGACGGGTGTAATCTACGCCACATCTTTTCCGACAATGAATGCTGCAGTGATGGAAACCTCGCGGTACTTTCAAAAGAAGGATGATCCAGCCTATGAAATGGACCGCAAGATTCTCTTTCGACTCCTTGTATTAGCCAATGCACAAGTTGCTCAATTAACTGGAGCTCGTGGACCTAATACCCAAATCAATGCTGCATGTGCTGGAGCGACACAAGCCATTGGCATGGCTCAGGATTGGATTAGTGCAGGGAAGTGTGAGCGTGTTATTGTCCTATCGAGCGATACTGCTAGCTCAGAGGCGATGATGCCGTTAATCGGAGGAGGTTTTCGCGCACTTGGTGCGGCATCTATCGCTCCGACAGCAGAAACAGCAGGACGTCCATTTGACGTTCAACGCAAGGGGATGATTGTTGGAAGTGGCGCAGTTGGTATAATTCTGGAATCTCCACGAGCTTTTGCTGAACGACCAATGATCAGAAAAAAGACAGTGCGATTGCTTGCTACCCAATACAGTAACTCTGCATGTCATGGTGCTGCTTTAGAGCCACATCATGTGGGTCAAGAGCTCGTAAGATTTTTAAGCAGTATCGAAAATCGTTTCGGGATCACGCGCAGCGATATTGCTCGGAATGGAGTCTACTACAGCCATGAAACGGGAACAAATGCATCTCCAACAGCGTCATGTGCGTACGCAGAAGTTACGGCCTTGCGTACAGCTTTTGGCCCCGAGTTACTGTCAAAGCTCTTGATTACTAACACAAAGGGATTTACAGGACATCCTATGGCTGTATCCTTTGAGGACGTCGCAGCGATTGAGGGACTTCGGCTCAAGCAGGTACCGCCTGTAGTACACTTTGAAACCCACGATCCCAATCTGGGCGAAGACACTCATCTTCGTCTTGCTTCAGGAGGTGCATACGTCCACAAATACGCGCTACGCTTTGCAGCAGGCTTCGGCTCTCAGCTAGCGTTCTCCCTCTATACCACGTAGCTTAACATATGAAATTCTATGTAATTAACCTCAAATACATGGTTGTTTAGTGTGGTAATACATAAACATAAAGTTTATCCTCCTGCCTAAAACTCGACCGACGAAGTGCGTTTGTGACGAGTCTTCTTTCTTTCTTTGTCCCGTGCGTCATCACTTGCATCGCTGTACGTCGGACTGGGTCCGCCACTAAGCGCAAATGGAGCTCCACCAGTTTTGGTACTCAACATAACGCCCGTGCCACCTAAAATGCTGTCCGTCCGACGTAGTTGTTCGTCGTCCATATCAATTGACCCGGGACTACCATAGCCAGAAGGAACAGGATACTGATTGGACGAATTGCCATGATAATTATTCGCGTAACTTCCTCCGTCGTAATTTTTGTTATTGTACGGATTACTGTATTGATTCCCATAATTATGCGCATCATTTGGAGGCTGTGATGGATACGTTGCATTCGTTGAGTACGCTGTGGTTGCATTAGACACAGAATATGGTGCAGCCATTCCCTGATTCGCAGCTGGCTTTGTTGGTGAGAACGCTGAGTCGTCGTCATCAGAGTCATCATCTTCATCTTTCCTCTTCCACGCAACAAATCCAGCCACAGCTATCAATACGACAGCACCACCTACGACCCCAATGATCAAACCCATTTGGTTACTAACGGAACTGTTGTTTCCACTTGACATATTTGATCGATCGGCTTTCCTTTCGACAGGTGTTGATTCCACAAGTGCTTCTTCTGATTGTTTTGGAATGACAGGCGCCACAGTGGCACTCACACTCTCCCGGTCCGACATCACGTTTTTGGCACTACGCGTTTCAATCTGATGTTGTACTGCTGAGTAGCCATTCCCCGTTTCATCAGTTTTGATCGTGTCCGACTCGAGAACATCGCCTTTAGAATCGCTGGTTGAGCTTTCAGGAGACTCCTGTTCGTATTCTGACTCTTCCGGTTCCATTTGAATCGGTTTTAATTTAGGTGACTTAAGCATACTGCCACTACTGCTCGTATCCTCCGGGGTCGTCAAGGTCACTTTTTTGTTCTTTGGAATTAATATACTGCTGGCTGTCGATTCGTTTAAGTCACTGAAAGTAGACGATTTGTTGTTCATTCTACTCGAGTTCGCCGACAAGTTTGACTGTAGACTGTTTTCAACAAACGTGCCTTTAGCATCACTACCTTGTGTGCTGTTCTCGTAGGTCTCTGTGGTCTCTGTGGTCTCTGTGGTCTCCGATGCCTGCATCTCTAAATCACAGTCTTAATAAGTCGAGTACTAATAGTATTAGAAATGTGCTATTTACGCACTTGCTGAGCACTTGGTCGTGCCATACGGACAATCGCCATCATCGTTGAACGCGTAACACGCGTAATTAGTAGAAAAACCAATCGTCGTCCATAATGAGTCGCTCTCCATCTCACTAATACACCGATCGCACTTCTTCTCTGATCGATTACATAAGTTTGAAGATGAACCATCCACATAGCACTCTTCAGCCTTGTTACAGATTGAAGGCTCTGCTGATATATTACGAAAGGACACAACCTGAACAGCGATTACTTTAAAAATCGTCAGTATATCGACATCATTATATTTTTTAGTATTGAGGTCACGCACCAGCGATAAATACCGCGAGAGAAGTGTTGCGTCTGAACATGGTTTATATTTCTCTACTCACGACAGTCGATATCTATCATGTAACAAAAATCAGTGCAACGCTATTAATGCTGCGAGATGCAAACTAAAGTACCTGGTCGAATTTTCCTGGTCGGAGCCGTCTTGACGAGTGTTCTTACTGAATGTGACAACAGGAAGAGGAGAGACTATCAAACTGGCTGTTTCTTCTCGGCAACCCTTACATTCAACAGAAGTCACTATCTCCATGATTTATCATGGAGATTTGACATTTTGTAGTACCTCTAAAGCTTTTCATATTGCGGTAGAGATTCATAGCATTATACAAAACGTGCAGGACTACTCAACGCAACACATAATGATTCTAATCTGCATTTACTCTAAAGTCGAGCGATTTGTAGCTCTGAGATCTCATGAAGCAAGATAGCTTAATTTACAGCGCACAAGACATTGTATCTTTAAAACACATAGATAAGCCTTACATTATGCTATAGAGAATATAAAATTCAGCCCTGGTTTCTGACTGAGTTCGAGATATATGCGCCAATTGTTTTTGACCTGCAATCCGGCTCAGCTTCATCGCTCAACTCAGAGACTTTTAAATGCAGAAAGAGACCTAACTTTCGAAGCAATTTGCTCCATCCAAAAATCTAGTACCTTTACATTTGCATTTAGAAATAATCTGGTAGTTTCATCACCAGCATAAGGTTTGAGCGTAAAAAGCTGTCATGTTAAGAAAAAGGTAGTCATCAGCTGGGGTCTCTCTTACCGCGAGTACCGAGCTACATTTGTTTCACGACAATTAGTCTAAAGTTTGTAGCATTGTGACTTTACGGTCGTATAGTGAGTAGTGCCCTTGATAGGCAGGATGATACCTTTTGTCAGGGGGCTTCAACATTGATTTTTTTCTCTATACAATATACGCCAAAAAAGCGTATTGCGCTTGACTAATATGCTAACTATCTTTTGAGTGCGTGGCTGCTCAAAATAACACCATTACTACTGGTTGTTGAGCCATTTCTGCCTGTGACGCACGACTTAAAGTTGACAAACGCACGAGTTGACCACGACCTCTCAGCGCTAGATTGTTATTTCGCAATTCAATGGCTTGGATTGATCCCTATACCGTTAAGTCTCGATGGAAGGCACAACTTTTTACGTCATGACGGTCCCGCTCCAACTTCGTTTACAAGAATATTTTTTCTACTGTCAATTGAGAAAGACCGAAACGTGTTGAAATCGTCTCGGTAGCGTATGTCTGCATAGTGACCAATCTCAAGGTCCATTCGTCGCTATGTAAATCTGTGCTGGACGCTGACGTAGTCCCGTTGTGAATAATGGTGACAGCACGATGGTACAGGCGCCTATATGTGCCCATAAAAATTTTTGTCGCTTGACTCCTAACGTCATATCCAGGTATGGATGGCCACCGTTTTATTCATTAAAGGACATCTCTTAACTCGTAAGGCTCTATTCATATAGTGCACGAGCCAAAACCACTATTTTTGTCGGCTTGCGGAATTCTCGCTCGTTCTTGTAGCTATCTCATTATACGAGTACATACCTTTGCAGCATTGCACATCTTAGACTTAGAAAAATCGCGTGTACTTATAAAATAGTAGTGCCGCTCAGAAAGTCACTTAGCGAATGCGTCCATTATGTTGTGTTTTACCCTAGCGACGCGTTACTGCAGGTTCAATGCTATTAATTGTTTCTACAAGCTACGAAAAAGGGTACTCATTATTTGACACGGACTGCGTAAGTCACATCATTGTATACACAGGCCAACCGCCTGTCGCTGTCGTGTCTGTTCCGCGCTGGATGGAATAACAAGTGTCGCATAGTCAAAACAAGTTCGTGTACGTCGGTAATTTTCCGGCCTTTCTTAAAGATCTTCGTGAGCACATCGCGACGTTGTTTGACTCGTCGCCACGTTGTTTAACTTGTCGCGCATCACGGCTGCTGAATTGTATTGCAAATGCTCTTGTCGGTATATGATACCATGGATGGCAGCCATGGACGTCTGATTTAAAGACCCTTGACTGTAAGTTCACGTTGGTCGTAAAGCGGGTCTATACAGCGGGTCTATACAGCGGGTCAATTATGACACTCAACATTTACGAGCTGCAGTTCTCCGCGGCGCCGTCATATCGTCCAAAATACGTTTATCAGCTAAACGCAGAATCATGTTTACCAGTGGCTTGTAATACAATAGCGACGATCAACTGAGTCTTAAGCAAGGCTCGTACCGAGTTGAGGACACTTTGAAGGCTTCAAGTGACTCAAAATGTCGCGGAACTTGCGACGTGAGAGTTACGTCACTACAACGAAGTGGCATTTCTGGCGACTCTAACAAGTGATACACGACATCATTCCATCACGAGGTAGTTGTACGCAGCACCGGCTGGACGTATCAAATTAGTTTAAAAAAAATGGTTTCGAAATGCCTTTCGCTGACCTACTTCTTGCCAAAAACTTTAGTCGCAATGTGTGGCGCTGGAGGCTGTCTTGAAGCCAGCGAGATCGATGGCAAAGACGGCAAGGCCACGGTGGCTGCGTCATACATTCTTGGGAAAATAATTCAGGAAATGAGTTATGTTTCCATTTAGTGTCATTTAGAAAATAAGCTATTCGAAAGTTTTATAAATTCTCACAAATGGCCACAAAGAGATTTTAAGAGCTTTACAAATCATTAATTGAATGTGTTTGAGGGTACAAAGGCTTCGAATTAGACGATTTGTACAACTGCAACAGTTGTCGAGTGCATTTTTTTAATAGAAGAAAGTGTCGCGAGTGACGTGACGTTCGAGATTCCGAAAGCGATCATGTTTACCTAAGCGCCACAAGTAGTAGTCTAGCTGAAGAATATTGATGCGACCTTTGCTCGCCTTGACGATCTCATCACATGCCACGAGAGCTGCAGCGCGCAATTCGCACTCGTATTGTCCGGCCGGAAGTTCTTCGTTTTGATTGATTCGTGCCTCCAATTCGGGGTCATACTGGTACAAACATAAAAACAATAAATTGGTGCGCAACGATTGCAAGATCGGCACAGAAAACTTTTTTCTCTAACCTCGAGGACACCTACAGCATGAAGAACACAGGGCAAGACCTGAACAGAAGTTAATATCAAAAACTGTAACCTTGATATTGCACTTATCTCACATTGTCGCTCAAAGCTGTTAATTTGTTGATGTCTTTAAACATTAGTTTGGAATCGGCACCCTGGAGTTTGTGATGTTAGAGGTTGGTACAGTGATCAGCATTGTGAAGCATTTATTACCTCAAATCGACGATGAATGCATGCGACGGCCAGTTGAGCACGCTTCAAGAGATACACTTTCTCGCCATGAATCTCGTAGTGGTCGCCAAAACCTGGAAATGTAGCAACGAGCTGGTCCACGAGATAAACTGCACTTGAGCTAGGATTAATCTTCGCCTTCTCCTTTCCGTCATCAGAGGGTTTCGGTGAAAGATTAGCTTCTACAAAAGCTCCAAAATCTGTCATCTTCAAGTCAAGCAGCTTCTGCCCACATTCATTTAGAATCTACATGGCCACATTTCAGTGTTTGATATCAATTTTGATCCAGAAATTGGATCTTCTACCCTTTGAATCATCGCAGCCAGCGGTTTTAGGGGTCCCTGTATTCGTAATACTCCATTTATCGAATCGCATAGCATTACCGATTAATATCAAGTGTGTCTTACTGGTTTTGACATGTAAATTCCCGGAGAGACTTCTTCATCTTTCTCAAGAGGTATACTGAAGTAGTTTGCCACCAGGTCAATGGTCAACTTCGTCATATACCGGGCGTCCAGCTTGGGTACCGAAATGTACATTCCAATCAGCCCGAAAACCTGCTCATTGTTAACGTGTGTCATTGTCGATTGGCTAAAAAACAGGTATGACTTCACTATGCATCCTCACAATAGTGTCATGAGCTCCCCGATCTGCATACTTGTGCAAGTCTTTTCTAAAGCCGCTACCGAAGTTCAGTAACCCATAGAGTGCTATGAATATCAGCATGTTTCAAACACATAGTCAGTCACTGTTGTAGCTTGTATAACAGAGGCTTACAGACTGAGAAAATTGAGCTCATCTCGTTGCGAGTGAAAGTTAAGTGGAAAATTCATGGGCTCTGCTAATTTCTCAAACTCCTTCACGTCTAAGTCCTCATAGAATTTACGTGCTTTTCCTTTATTGATGCGAACTGACGAGAACTCATGCGCAATGAGCTTGGAGCATGAAGGCCGCACACGAGCTAGCAACGAGTCCGTTGATAAACCCATTGATCTATGTCAAACGTGATAGAAAGGACTGTGACAATTGATAATTGCTCAATTCGCATTTTATGCCTTAATTTGTAGTCCTGCCTCCCCTCCCGTTAAGGCGACGACCGAATCACCCACGGTCCACCGTAATGCTTGAAATTCGAGAGCTTCGACCGCTCCTGGCTATTCTCAATGTGCGTAACTTGCAGTTTGCATAGTGCTTGAAAATATTCTAGCGTCAGAAAAGAAGGGAATGCGAGGAATGAGCCGATAGAAATGCGCGTGAGAAATAATTTGAACGGGATTCTAACGACGTGTTCATGACGTGTAATCTGCTTTATAGGAAGACGATAAGCCGCTCGATCAAGTCTCTAGTATGTTCTTACGCACATTTACGAAAAACGATCACTTTAAAGTTGGCTGCACCATCTGCATCCTGCTGCAAGATAACTTACTTACGAGCTCACAGGTACGTTTGAGACTAATTTTGCAATAAAATTGTGCAATAAGTAACTTTTTATTGTTGTGGTGATTGATCACAGCGTTTTGTAAGCTTCTCAATCTTATCCGAGTTGTATCGCAATGAAGGTACCTCAACGAATCCGTTCTTGCCTGTGTTTCTCGATGCACTCGAGAAAGGTAGCGATCAATGCGAGCAAAAGTTTATTATTCATTTGCTTTCTCAAACAAGTGCTTCTCGCGATGTACGTTAGCAATTGAAATATAATTGTGACATTCACAATATTGATATTGCAATCATTGTATCGCAGTCCAGCAAAAAGACGGCAAAGCAAATGATTGCCGAATTTCGAGCCAACCCGTCACAACCAGTGCAATTTGACATTCAAAGTTTAAAAAGTAGCTACTTGGAACGCACGCCAGATGTTCCACAATTTCGCGCAGCAGGGATTCGCAATGTTGTGACCGATACAGAGTTTGATTTGCAAGAACACGTGAATAATGGTGCTAATCTTCAAGTGACTCCAAACGAAGTGAGCTCGTTGAACTTGCCGTGTTTTGAAGCGCTTTCACTGGAAGAAATGAGTTTGCTTAGTGATTTCGAGACATCGTCGACTGCTTCGTCGAATTCTGCAGCGAGCGTGTCGTCGACGGGATCACTGTCATTATTAAGTCTTGAGCCGACCTTTATGCGTCTTCCTCCGCCAATTCTTGAACCAGATATGACGGAATTAATATGGCTGAACCCGGACTATTGCCCCACGTTGTTATGGGATGCAACTATGCTGGATTCAACGCATGGGATTGCACTGCGTGAATTGATGCTTCGTGCATTCCAGAAGCCACTTGTGCCATCGTTGCAGCAGAAGGTATTGGCGGAACTTGAAGCAGATCCTAAGCTCGTGTATCATTGCTCTTTGACACCACAACGACTACCAGATCTCGTTGAAAACAATCCAATGCTGGCCATCGACTGTTTGCTGAAGCTCATGTCGTCCAATCAAATCACTGAATACTTATCAGCACTTGTGAATATGGACATGTCCCTTCATTCGATGGAAGTGGTGAATCGATTGACTACAGCTGTGGATTTACCAACCGAGTTTATTCACTTGTACATTTCTAACTGCATTTCATCGTGTGAAAACATCAAGGACAAGTACATGCAGAATCGTCTCGTGCGTCTTGTCTGTGTCTTTCTGCAATCTTTGATTCGAAACAAGATAATCAATGTACAGGTATGCCCTTTAACTGTGTTGCAAGCCCAAACGTTGCGCTAACAGTGTAATGTGACTTTTGTGTAGGATTTGATCATTGAGGTACAAGCTTTTTGTATTGAATTTAGTCGAATTCGTGAAGCTGCAGGGCTTTTTCGCTTACTTAAGACGCTGGAGTAATAGGCTCAGATACCAGCGAAACACAGAAAAAACTCAACATTTCGTCAAATGATGTTTTCTCTGTTTTCAAACCGTAACAGCTAAAAGCGTGGGATTCCCACACAGAAGCGCATCAAGTCACGAGTCAATAGTCCTTCAATATCGTGAGAGTCCGCCTGCCCATGTGTCGATTAAAAACGTAGTCAGCTAGACGTACACAGTGTGTAAGTGAAAGGTAAGTGCACCTCATCTTCCCACCGCTTAGTGAGAACATTCCATTGATACGAGCGCAGCCCAGATACCTGCATATATCCATTTTAATTAGCATGTGACTGAAAAGGCCAGCGTCATATAGGCATATACTGGGGAAGAAAATTCGATCTGTTGCTTGGAATGCAGTACTTTGACTACGAATTCTCTGGCATTTGTCCGTATATAAATCTCACCATCTACTTCAGTAGTAAGTAGCAAGAGTTAGCTTCAAGAACATCCTATACAAGAAAGATAGTACCATCACGCTTTAGCTGGAACTCGTCATTAATTGGCGGGTACAGCGGCTCCATTGCATTCTGCACACGGTCCAAAAACTCCAATGATAGTGCTGCAAACCTATTTAGAAACTCAAATATATCGATGACCATGAAAGAGTATCAAGAATTGCTACTCACTTGTCCTTTGATATTTTCGACTTAAGACGGCGACGACGATTAGCAATTGGAACTGTAAGCTTCCCTCGGGTTTGGACTAAATGCAGTACGCTGCAATTAATCATAGCCACATGTGTCACATTATTATAGATCTGGAAAATGACATTGCGACAGTTCCGAGTGCTATGAAGAGCTCGTTGCAGCATCATATCTAAAATCGAAACAGGCACCACCTAATTTTGCATGATATTTGAGATTTTAATAATTGAAATTTCACTTACTGGGAAATTATCGATTTATCATCAAAAAACCCGCACACTATGAAACACTAGAGGCATTTACCAAATTATGGTGCAATGGTTAAATCGCCGTGAAGGACTTGTATCTGCATGAATCGAAGTAATGAATTAAGCAGGATAGAATCAGTAACGATGAATAAAAAAACATGCAATTCAGAAATTTGAAATTAATACAGCAGTAAAGCAGTCAAGGTGGAACTTTATGCCAAAGTCTCGTGATCCAATTAAAATATACTCTTAAAAATATGATCGAGATCACTTTGGAATTTCTCGGCGCAGCGGGTTGAAAACGAAGAGGCGCAGCCGAGTCTGTATTTCTTAAAAATGAGTTGATACTATTGCCTTAAATTGCATTTCATATCCATCTCCTTAATTTGATTTTTTATTTTTTAACATCAGCATTTGAAACGAAATTGCCAAACCTGACCAGAATCTTGATAAATTGATGAGCGAGTCTAAAATGCCGAACACTTCATCGTATCGACTGGACAGCCAATACAAGGGACCGAAAATTTGTTATAGATCAGAATTTAGAAATGAAGAGATATTTGATGATAACTATATGTATATAACTGTAATTTTTAGGACTTGCCCGTACAGACATCACCTGAGTCATTGTGTTTATCCTGTGGGTACTAACTAGTAAGAAGACTCCTGGGTTTAGACACCACAGTGAATATCTAAAATTCCGCAAAGTCAATTTCATTCTTTCTAATCTTTCGCCTTTTCACAGTGAATATCTAAATTGTCGTAGCAAAAGTCGAAAATATGAGCATTGAAGTTTCTATTTCCGAAAATATCACCCTATTACTCATATAGAACATTTTGAAAGATGCTCTTAAGAAACTACGGGGTTGAGCGACCAAAATAGCGAATAAGTGCAATTTCTGAGCTTTCGGAAGTCTCTTTTCTATAAAATGAAAGCTGCTGTGAATTTTTCTCCCGAAAGTAATACTTCAATCCCTGCATGTTTGATTGTGACGACATCTGGACGCATTCTTCTTTTATGGGATCAGGATGACAGTTTGCCATTCCAATACCCACAGCTCGCTTTGTTTTTGGTCAGTCTCTTTCACTTTGGACAGAGTCAGTCATTCGGTCAATTAGAGCTGCAGAATGGCTACACAGTAATAATGACTGCAGATGTCATTGCACGGATTATCGTTGTAATTATATGTGCGACACCAAAAGCGGGTGATAAAAATGAAGTCGCACCGTTGCAACTGGAGCGACTCGCGAGTTTAATAATTTTGCAAGAGTTCTTGAGGTGCTTTCGAAGCGATATCAATCGTCTTTCAATGGAATGTATTGAACAGGCAAAGCTTATGGCAGATGAGTACACTTTGACGAAAGCATTGGGCGGATTACAAGATGGTTGTGAGGGTACACTAGACGAATTTATCGTTTTTCAGAATAAGTTTGTCAGGCGTGTGATCGGAGTAACCAGTCGTTGCATTCAGGACTCGATTACATCATGGTATTGTGATGTGGAGGTTATCATGAGTCATAGATCTTCTTTAGCTATCCGACTAGCACGGGGGTTTGTTATGAATGGTGAGACCAATGACATCGTATACTCAACATCGCCTAAATCAGCAGGAAGTTTTTTTGATCAGGATCAAGCTTCACGACAACTTCATCTTGTGTATAAAAGTGCAAGAGTGCAAGAGCTAGTCAAACAGGTCGCTAAAGCACTACACGAGTGCACAATTCTCTTGACTCCGGACGTACTTGATGAGCACGGCTTTGAACTTGGAGTTGTCATAAAGTTTCGACATTTGTCAGGTCTTGAAGTTAGTGAACTTTTCATTGCTCTTCGTATGCTTCGGGTAAGTCTGCAACCAAAGACACTTGAATTCTGTTTTGTTCATGATGTAATATAAATGATAGACGGGAACATTTATGACGGGAGTTGTGTTTTACGGTGACAACTCACAATTCCGCGGAGGTCTCAAAAAGCTTCAACAGGTAAAAGCACATTTGTGTGGTAACCTGATGCTCCGTTTGCTTCAAGCTTCGTCGCAGGATGTTGAGTTGCAGATTGGTTTAGACGGTGCACCCGAAGAAGTTTGGGAAGCAGCGAATATGCTTTTGAGACCATTTGAGCGGACTGTTTCTATACATTACACAAATGAAGACGATCGGCCAAAAAAGTCATCTTCAAATACATTCTTTGATCCAGTCAATAACATGAAAGCAGGCGCGGCTACGAGATCCCCGCAACTTACAGAGAATAATCGTAGTCAGTAGAAAAAGGTGTCGGAGTATCACATCATCACTTAAGGTGAAAGTGTAGTTTTACAACTTGCTCTCGGATTCTTCGAGTATAGCCACTGTCGCTTGGAATACGTGCTGTCGAAATATCGTTTTGGCTTTTACCATCAAATAATATCCACGAGACATCGATAACTACGCGAACGACACCTACCAAAGGAACCACGTCAGTTCATTCCATCCAATTTTCTTATTTGACACCATCAGAGTTCCGTACTTGTAACGAATGCTGCCTGCCACAACTTCCGTTCAGAAAGTTTTGGTGCCTCCAAAATCACCGGAATTTTTAGATCTGCGCATGCTTTGAGTACCAATTCCCTCGTACTACCTTGTAACACACCTTCATCCGCAGTGTACACTGCACCATCTTTCACTTCACCTAGCATCAGCCACCTCTGCAAATGCCATCGCTAACAGCACGTACCGACGAAAAAGTTGCTTACTAGTCCCTCTAGTAATAATCGATCACCTCCTGGTCCACATTTACTCAGTATTACCTCCTGAATGGACTCGCCTCGCATCTTTGCTAGCTCTGCTGCGTATTTCTCGATCGGTACACGATCCTCAATCCACTGCGTATGTTTCAATCGAGCGTTGACACGTCCCTCCCCATATACCAATACTGTCGATGCAATACACGTTGGCGTAGGCATTGGACAGATGTGAATGGCTACACCAAAGTCGTTTCTGTCTAAACGTGGATACCAGAGTACCGATAGCATTCCGTCTCGAGCATCGACCGCAAGCCACTTCGTCACTACAGTGGTCGCCAGTAATTGTGTCACCAGCTTAAGATTATCTAGTATTAAAGTATCTTGGTTGAAGTCGCTAGTTAACCTAGTGATACCATCGCAAAGCCGCTGCAAGTGGAAAGACCATCTAACAACGCTAGCAGGTAGCTGCTCATCAGACTTCTCAGCCAGACCTTTTACTCTTGCGCAGGAATACACGCCTAAAGGACGCGATTTAAGAAATAATTTGGCAGAAGGAAGCTCTGTACAATTACGTGCGGGAATAGCCGATAAAGTAACCTTATCTACCGACAACAAGCTCTGAGCTTCCGCCACAAAGGCTACACAAGGATCATTCATACTGTTAATGATGATAGTACTGCATCGTAGAAATACCAGTACTATTTACGGTTTTCAAAATGCATCTTTCACCTCACATTTAGGAATATTCGAAAATGTTACGTCGCAGCTCGCAATGCCTTGTAAGTGCTGCACGCACTTGCGCCCCTCGTGTGGCTCAGTCCTTTACCGCCGGTATCCGTCTACAGAAAGCAAGATTTTCCACCATTTACGACTATCAAACGCCGTTTGAGGTGCGTTCAAGCTCTGGAAATACAATCCTTTCTCTACCATTGACCAGATGACGTCAAATTGCTAATTTCTAGGACATAAATCGCCATCGTAGTGACGCTGAGCAGCGAATCGCTCAAGTACCGATTGTGGAATTGGCTAGTAATGTGGCTGTGTGTGACGGTGGCGGTGGCGCTCTGGGTCACCCGGTCGAGTACATTCAACTGGACACGCGCGAGCACAATACTCCACAGACCTGCAAGTATTGCGGCATTCGGTTCAAAATGAAGGAGGGGTATCATGGTAGTCATTAAAGCCATGTTGTTTACTCAGAAAGAGGAATTGAGTCAAATAAATTCACGAAAACAAAATGAGATAATCCTCTTTTCCATGTTTAACCTGATCCAATTAGTGTGAACGCACGCAAAGCAGTGTACTACCTCGACGAAGATGAAGACGACGAAGATATGGCATCGTCAGACAATCCTAAGCTGTCCATATAACGCACAATTGCACGATAATGAAACTCGCCTTCTCGACGCCTTTGACCGTGCTCCATGTTCTCCAAATGGTCTTTGACGAGTGTTAATAGCCCAACAAGATAATTCTGTGTCACCTCAGGTGTCTGTGCCTCGTAAAAGTACAAATACTGTATAACAAACAGTCCATAAGTTGAAAGGTGTACAAGAGATACCGAGAAAACACGTACAGCTTCTAAAATATCAAGAAAAAGACAAACTTGGTTCGATGATGTGTCCTTGATCGCATCTGCAATACGAAGAGAGCGCTGAAGACATTCTCGAACGCGTTTGCCATCTTGTTGACAAGGATGCTACGGTTGTTATCCCAATCAAATACAGAAATCAATACGCACACTAAACAAAAGTTCAATAATCGTCACTACAGTTACTTACCCAAAAAAGGTGTGCACAATTTAACACCATTAGTGCTTGGTCTTTCTTCTTAAGTAGTCGGGCTGCGTATTGTGTCGTCTTTGTAGCAAGAACCTCGTAATTAGCACTCGACAAATTGCGAACGGCACGAAGAGATGCCACCATGATCTCCAAAGCACGCCATTGTTCCCGGGCAAGTGTAATCTGGTCTTCATATACAATAAAAGCTTGGGTAATAAATTCGTACGCAACCGCTTCATACGCACAGCCATCAGCAATTAAAGCACACTGCAAAAACAAGTGAACGCACGGAACTGATAGCGCATCTTGCTTAGAAGCCAATGCAGTCACCATTTCATGTACAAACTGAAGTACTTGGCGAGGCGTTGTCTCAAAAGTCTTGCCCGGTCTCGAAGAATATGCTATAGCTTCAAGCTCTGTCTTCATATCCACCGCCTGATTTTGAGTTTTCTGTTTATGATGTGCAGCTAGATCTCGGGCAAGTGTAAGCGATTGGTAAATCAATGGGACAAGAGAATAACGAATGCGATAGACGCCACTTTGAAGGAAAGCACGTCGGGCGACGGAATATACCTGGAATCGAATATCTAAATCGTCATTAATTACTAGGTGAATAACCTTGGCCAAAATTTGCTGTTCCACTTCAAAGATCTTAGTATCCTTGTCTGACTCATTTATGGCTGGAGCTGGAGACTGTAACTCATTGGGATCGTCACGTACTAAAGGTGCCAATACTTGAAGCAAAAAATCCATTTGTTTGTCGTCACGTACACGCTCATGACGTGCTAGAAGCACACGAATATATGTCATTGCTATGTCCTTCCGTGCTCCTTTCCACGGCATTAATGTAATTAATTCAAGGAGCGCTGGGATATCCATTAGATCTTGTATTGTTAATGCTTCAAGGAGTGTCAAAACGAGAGTTTTAAGCTGCAAAATCACTGTTTGGTATGTTTGTTTGTCGCTGTCATCTTGCCATGCTGTTGCTCGTTTTTGCAAAAATGTAAGACACATCATAACAATTTTTTGTAACGCTGAGGTTGTGTCGGGACTTTGACGTGTTGGGCTAACACCCAACCACGTGAGGGTAAAAGATGCGAATGTCACGAATAAGGGAAGGACCAAAGCTAAATGGACCTTAGAGCTGCTGTCTTCACTTAAAATTTCCTTGACTTTAGCATCATACCGTGATGAATGCACAAGCACTTTAGAAGTTGTTGCCAGTAATTGTTGAAACACGAGAAGATCCTCAACTTGATGTTCCAGTGATTCGTCGACTTGTTCTTGCTCCTTCAAATTTCGAATAACACCTTGAGCTTCTCGAAACTTTGTCAATCGCTCAAAAAATGCGGTCAAAGTCAACGCTACGTCAACACTTGACTGTAATTTCTCAACCGCACCTAGTAATTTTTCTAGATTTTGCAAGTGAAATTCATCTGGAAAAACTTGAACAATACAATCCATTAAATATTGCTGTGACGTTGAATCTTTCGTCACAAGCACTATATCATTTAATAACCGAGGCAAGACTTGTTCTGTGTAAACGCTAAGCGTGACCCCTTCCATCTGACTAAGCCTCACCAGGCTCGTACCGACCAGCAATCGCAGCTCCAATCGCTCTTTCTCTCGTCCGGTTACCGGTCTTTCCCCTCCACTCTTTTGATGTCGCAGTCTTATCCAAAGTTGATTAGTCTCTCGTAAATTTTGCAGTAGAAAATCAATGGCATCAATGATAGTACCACCACCCGATTGCTCGTACACTGATCCCGTATCCGGGAGCTTGTCACGGACACTGAGTGATAAATAATGTCGTAGAAAGAGTCCTCGCAACGGATGTTGCACTCCTTTCAGCATTTCTACTAAATCCGTCAAAATCTCTCGAACTGGAATTTCTTGCGATTTGATATAAACAGAGCCTACCGCCACCATTAAGTAAAGTCTTGGCAGCACATTTCCACTGCTCTGAACACGTTCATAGAGCACTCGCATAGATGCGCCTGCCTGCCGTTGATCATCGACGTAGCTTTCAAAGTGTCGCAATTCATCCATTATTTGCATATCTATGATAGTATAACAGGTACTACTATTGTTATCATACGAGTACTACACTGAGAACATCATCGTACATAATTGGTAGTATTTCGTTGGAGACAATAGATTCGTGCGCAGCTCGCGTAAGAACTCAGCAGCGTGCTTTAGGACTGCTTCCTGGTCACCTGCATCGATGGCACGCTGCATACGATAGCTTTGATCACGGACTGTTTGCTGCGCTTCGCAAAGAAGACCTTCTTCGTCTTTCTTGTCCAAGACAAAGCCTCCTAGCGTCATCTCGTTGCGAGATCAGATCTCAGATTTATCCAGACAGTTATACAAATATTTGAGATACTACTATATCATAAAAGAGTAGTATGTTTGATGATATAATAGACAAATGACACAATTCATACATTTATTGATAAATCAAGTGGGTTCTAAGACAGAAACATCGATAAATAATATATGTTTGGTTACAGCACAAAAGCGTGAGCGTGCAATGGAACTCTCAGCGTGTAGTTTATACGCGTTGGGCAACGGCGTTCTGCTCCAGGCTATTCATGATGAGTTGAGACAGTTTGCCTGGTGACTTAGCTTGTCGAAAAACGTCGCATTTCTATCTAAAACTTAAGTGCAGAAACTTTGACGATGCGACTACGTAGAGTAGCGAGGACAACAACCTCCTCTCGTTGACGCACGCGATGAAGTTCCTTGGTAATTGCAGCAATCATACGTTGCATCTTATCGTGTGTATTTTGATGCATTTGTAGCATGTTACGAATGTGAACGAGCAGCTCGAGTTCTTCTTGACGTTCTTCTTCGAGCTCTTCGTGTTCTTGCTGGCGTGCAGCCAAACTGCCATCATCACGCGAGGGTGGCAAGACAAGTAGAACGTTTATTTCTAGCTGGAGCTTAGCCATCAGTCCTTCAATCTCTTGCAGTCGTGCTGTCGATTCAGTCACGTCATTCTCGGATGTCAAAACCGCTTGCTTTTCGACTGCGACCTCTTCACGAAGGCAGGCGAGCTGTTCTCGCAACGCCCGCGAGTATAATGTCAGCTTTTGTGCAGCCTTTTCTAGCTGCTCCATAGCAGACAGGCCTGTGTTGTTAGTGCTGTTGGTGTTACTCTTGGATGGCGCTGACATGCTACTACTCTATTATGTGTCGTGATGCTAGTAAGTAGCTGACGAATTAAACAATGAGTGACCCGTTCACACGGTGGATTGTGGAGAAGGTCGTAAGGCGAGTGTTATAGGCGAGCAAGCAGCAGATGATGTGGCGACAGCCTTAGACGACGCGATCACATGATTGGCTTGTGCCTTTTCGCAAATCCGTTTTCCTTCATAACGGTTTCTGTACATGTCCAACATTCGGTCAAGTTTTGATCAAAACGAATGAGTTTCGAGTCTTTCCTTTGTTCATGAGGCCCGTTAGACGCGTTTGACGCCCACAAATGGAGAGGCATCGGCAACGTTCGAATCAGCCGTCAGTAACCACAGGATCCGCTAGCAATAAAGTCGCTTTACGGCCTTTATTCTAAGATCAAACGAATTGTACAGGCGCTTAACTAACACATATTTTACGCGGCTGCCGCAGGTTTCAATCAGGGATGGACATTTGTTCTGATTTTACGAGGATGTTTTAATATTACCACAGCATAGTCTGCAGCAAAGTTATAAATTCCCGAGAAATGTAGATATTGAAAACCTATATTCGAATAGATTTACTAAAATCATTTTACGTCGGATACGATGCACATGTTTTGAAATGAAATCCCATCACATGTCAGAAATTGTGATTCCTTGCATCCTCATGACGCCTTTTTGATGCAGTTAAGTCGTTGGTGCTGGCGTATGCGAATAGCTTGCATCGACACTCCGCTGCCAGTCGCAATTAGCCTCTGGTCGTAACTTTGGGCGGTCCGAACCGGATGCTTATCTTAAAAGCTCTGTTGTGTGAGCTGCTGAGAAAATTTGCATGGCCGGGTCGGTGGATTGCACAGGCTGTGGAGAGAGTGTCTAATATCGAGGGTTGAACATTTGCGGACAAGACAGTTGACACAATAGACAAAAAGTCGCGTAAGTTTTTTCAAAACGTACATCTTGCGCAGTGTCCAGCCTCTTCAATTAAACGTTTGTCCACATTAAGATTTACCCCATATTCATCTGCTTTCTTCTGTCTCGTCTGTGCCTTTCAATTGGTCTCCTTGCAACCAGGCAACCGTTGGCACGACGGTCATCAAAGATTTTCGGCTTCTACTGTGGATCGTACAAACAAGCCCATCTTGAAAATAGAAATGTTTGTATGGCACGCATATGTTTAATGCTAAGAATCTGCAGGTATTTCGTTCAACATTGCAAGGTATATGTTATCTTGTTGAAGTGCTGAAAGCTTGATTGAAATCATCGAAAATAGGGTTATCAAATTTTCGACAGTGTTGCTTAGTGGGATGCAATCATTTGGATTGCAACGCCATAAAATTTACAACCACTCTACAGCGGCCTGCAAAGTAAGAATTAATGCAACCTACGCTTGGTGAAATACTTGTCTTTGTGTCAATCAAAGTTCCAGCCGGCAAAAACCACTGGTTGCAGTTCGTGCAAGTGATACATTTTACTGTGTGATGAACTGCACAGTACAAAAGAGAAAGATCTGCTGAACGAAGACTTGAGCTTTGGAAAGAATAACAAAGAAGATTCAGCATTGTTTCGATGATAAGATGGGTGGATGGTGTTAGGATATCTCTATAGCAAACAACTGATGTTTTCAAGAAAAGTATACTTCAATGAATTGGAATGAGAAAGTTTTTTAGGTCTCCTTATGATGGCACCCATATCTGCCAAATGTTTTTTCATGCTAGACTCAATATCAACTGGACGAAGTTACTAAAGTCAAGTTGCGAGCTGTCGAATGATGTCGCCAGGTTTGCTACAGCATGTTTAAGATGAATATGTTACGGCCAACATGGGTTCGTGAATTGAGGTAAATAACATAATTTGAGATTTCACTTCCCAACAACGTAAAAATGGCGCACCGAAAGTTGAAGCAGATGTAGCAATGAAGGTGGATAGAGCAAATATTGAGAGTAAACAAGGCCTTTACTCGCGTTTGCTGCGCCTGTGCTGATGCGCAAGAGTAGGAACATTCTCTGTTGGCGCATCTAGTGCTTATTGCACCAACTCCGGGCATGCGGAGCCCTGTCTGCACAGCCATATTCTCTGCTGGTACGGTGTCAAATATGTCATCGCCATCATTTGTAGAGCTACACAAGAAGAAGCGAACGGAAAATGCTAGCTCATTTAAGCAATAATTGACATTTCTGGGATCAAAGTTACTCTAAATAATGTTACAATCATAATAGCCTTAAACCAATTCTTTGACACATTTCACTGTCATGCCATTCTTGTCGCCTCTTGATCAGTCAACATTATTGATAAAACACCACAAAAGGCAGAAACCGGCGCACTTGGACTTCCGAATGTCGTTGATTGGGTATCATTCGGATTCTAACCGATATTTTCTGCAGAATAAGTATTCTAACAGGAGCAGAAGGCTTTTGATGCTGCTCAACTACTGGCACAATTGTATGAAGCTGCCCTTGTAAAGACAATGGCAAGGCTGTATCGCACTGATTATACTTTTTTCAGTTAGAACCTTTCGCCTTCATTGGTCAAGCACCTCACGTCAGTCACACCTTTGTACATGCTTTCAGCAGATGATTGCCGCCACGACACCATCACTAACTTTCGAAATGTTTGATTTCGAGGCGACGTTAAAGCTGCATGAACAACAGCAGTCAACGCAAATGTAATAGTTCTGCAATCTTTATTCTTTTTTTATTTCGACAGTAGTATCTGAGATTTTTTTTACCCGAAACTTCTAGATTATTACTGGCATTTACTTTTGTTGCTGTTCGATTTTTTTACACTAGTTCCTTGTCATAGTGAAGGTGAATATTGAAGCTTCTTCGCTTTTTCCGCAGCTGACGCCCAACAAACGTGCTTATCGACAGCTCGTAAGATTATTATTTTTGCCTTATAAATCAGTTATGAAGCTAGAAGATTTTTTTAGCATCTGGGTAGGCCGTGGAGTACCGCGATTGACTACTGACATTATCGGTCGTATTTTTACAGCTAATACTGAGCATCGCTGTATCTAGTGCTTGGTAGTGTTTCGACCCCGTCACTTCTTATTTTGATGTTACCGTGTCATAAAACGAGCTTGCTCAACACGCAGTATGTGGAGATGCCTCATGACGAGGATCTCAAGTGTAGAGACAATAACCCCTGAAGGGTCATGTCTTAAGCATAACGACAAATGGTTTGGTGGGCATAATGTTCTGATGTACGCACCTGTAATTCGTGTGAGCGCGTACAACTCTCGTCCATGGATCGGCATAAGAACGCAAGCAAATTCTATTTTTGACAAAATGCTATGGAGGTATCTTGCGCATCAACTGTCTATATATGTAAATAAAATTAAGGGTATACTGCAAAAGGTGATACAAATAGAAAATATTCGCGAGATGTTATACAATTGTGTTTTAAACACTAGAAATACGAGACCTGGTAAAATTACCGAGTGTAGCCATTCTTGGTTCACCGTTAGATTGAAGGCGTGTGCCATGGAGATGGTCTCGTACCAAGAGAATCTCGGGACACTATAGATCCCTGAGGACGATTTGCTTACAGCTGCTGACCTTAGTATCTCCCCAGCAGCGTATGTTCGACAAGCAGGTCGTCCAAGGAAACGACGCATCAGATCCCACGGTGAGGTTGGCGGAAAGGCGAGGAAGCCATACAAGTGCACCATCTGTGGGGTGCTCG